TGTTATAAATAACAAACATTTTTTATTGAAAAGTATTTCATGAAGCCCTTTAAATTTTTATACGCGTTAAAAAAAAAGAAAAACTAGTTATTTTAATCATTGTCAGATATCATCTATACTTATCCCAACTATGCCACTTCATACTGTGCCGCGGACCACACTGTGCTACCATTTTTTTTTAATAAAAATTAACATCTTTGGTATGCATCTGAATTTATTACCAAACATTTTTTTGACAATAAATAACTATTATTTAATATTTAAAATATTTTATATCTTGTTGAAACAATTTTATAAACTTAATAGTCACTAAATGATTTATAAATGTATTTTATTTTTGGTAAAACAAAAAATAGAAAATATAAGCACAATCTGGGTTCTAGAAGGAGCTTAGCCCATCTAATTCTATTGTTGCCCCCAAATGATGAAAATTACATGTAAATGTATATGAAAATATTTTTAAGTTAGATCACCCAAATATTTTGTTCAAACAGCACTGATGACTATGGCTAGATTAATTTTTTTATGTTTTGATTTTATGTCAGATTGAATATATTAACTTTTTAATTTTCTTGTTAATGCATAATTATTATTTTTTAATTAAGCATAAATTTTCATTATTTCTATTATTTAACTATGGCCGTAAGTTTACTTTTCGCTAAAATATTTTGTACTACAAGATGCAATCACTATGTACATTATTTTTAAATATTGTGTTATTTTCTTTAATATTGGCTGTCGAAAGTTCTTACAGTCATAAAATTGCATGTTAAGTAATGACGTCCAAAAAAACATTGTAATACAAAAATGTTTGGATTTACGAAGAAAACAGATTTACTTTATTATTTTTCAATGTAACTGAAGGCCGGAGCGAATTTTAAATAAAAATTAAAAACACAAATTGGTACAAATGACTTGCTAACATTATATTTCAACCAATACTATTGTGCAATATTACTAATTATATTTTTATTACTACAATATGTTTGTTAACAACCATAGATAAAAGGCACAGTTATCGATGATTTTATTTTCAATGGAACGTTTTTAATTTTTGATTTATTTCTAAAATTAGTGTCACTTGAAACTAAGCATATATTTAGAAATTTTTTTCAAATTTTTGTAATAAATAATATGTTTGATAACATTTTTTTTCTTTAAAAACATTCTAAAAATAACATTTTTGGTCAAAAATTTGATGATCACATGAATTTTGCACTTTTTTAGTAGTTCTAAACAGGAACACAAATGCAAAAGATTAAATCCAATCATTTAATATTATAAAAAATATATGGATGCTCAAAATAATAATTAGCTTTGATAATACGAAGATTCGTTTAACAGCTAATTTATAATGCAATAATTTGTTATTACGAATAACGTAACCACTTTACAAAAAATGAATTACTTTACTTCATATTATTATTTAGAAATATGACTTAAGTTAAAAATGTTCCTGTTTTTATGTTTTAGATATGGGTTAACGCAGTAGGCCAAAATTTAAATTCTATGGGCATCGCTTATGGACTCGTTGTTTCGTTTGCTTCCTACAATCGTTATGACAATGACATATTGGTTGACACATTCACCATATCGTTTATTAATGGCTTGGCAAGTTTTGCAGTGGGGCTTTTTACTTTTGCAACTTTGGGCCATGTGGCAAAAGAATATGGCGAATCTGTAGAGAACGTTATATCAAATGGTCAGTAAAAGTGATAGCTCCTATAGAAATAAATAGTTATACTCATTAGTTTTATTTTAATCAATTTTCAACTTATCAATTTTGTTTGTTGAAATTATCTCATTCTTTGACAGATACTCTACTATATTTTTATAATCTATCAAATCAAATTATACTGGAAAACATGAGTTGGGTTGGGTTTTTGTGTACTACGTTTTTGAATTGTCTAAATAATTTTAATTAGACACTAAACATAGATGAACATTTAAAGGAAGGGCCTTGAAGGGAATAACCTCAAGAAATTTCAATAACCCCCCGANAGGAAGGGCCTTGAAGGGAATAACCTCAAGAAATTTCAATAACCCCCCGAACTGTAGATATTTTTGTATTGCTTTTATATGTGAGACTCCAATTGTATAAGTTTACTATATATTTCATGCTTTCCGAAAATTTTTATCAAATGACCGCTGATGACACAAGGTATAAGAATATTATTCGAACAATTTTATAAACAAATTATAAAGATATGTATTTCTTAATTATTAAAATACTTAAATATATTGCAGGACCAGGTATTGTCTACATTCTTTTTCCAGAAGTACTTTCAAACATGCCATTTTCCACTATTTGGACGATGCTTTTATTTTTTGCAATGTTGTGTTTATGTCTCAATAGTGAGGTAATTTAATTAAACTATATCAATATATGTAAAACCGATACATAAATAGTTTTCCTTCTGTTCGCATTAATATAACTCCTACGCAACATAGTGGCATAGTTACGAAGGAATTTATGTATTATACTCATCTTGACCTAAGTAATTTTTGTGGTGTAAATAAAACTTTATTCTATGGGAAGTATGATGAAAATTGGGATAGAGAGATGGAAAAGTTGTATATTTATCTCCTTCATGGTGAAAATAAAATGAAATTTAGGAACAATATATGCAACTAACAGTACAATAGACATTTTATAGTTGAGTACATTAATATATGAAGGACGCAGTTTTACATACATGTTAAACTTAATCTATCTATCTATGCTTTTTTAGACGTTTTAAATACTATTAAATTTGATTTATATTATGGTTTACATAAATCTAAAGAGTTGGCAAATTTTTTATTAATTTGTTTCTGTTAAGTTTGTTTACTATAAAATATTTTATAGTTTGCAATTGTTGAAGTAGTAGTAACGTCAATACAAGATGGGTTCCCACGAGGAATTAAAAAATATTTAAGCTGTCACGAAGTTTTAGTGTTGGTTGTTTGTCTTGCATCATTTTTACTTGGACTTCCATTTGTCACTCAGGTAAATATATTTTAATTATAATTTATTTATACATAAATAAATAAATAATGATATCTAAGATTTTATTTTATGATATATTGATTATTATTTTATTTTATCCATAGGGTGGTATATATTTATTCGAAATAATTGATTATTACATCTCTACTTGGTCAATGATTTACGTTGCATTTTTCGAAGTGATTGCTGTCTCCTGGATGTATGGCTCAAATAGATTGTCAAATGACATATTGAGAATATCAGGTTCAAAGCCTTTAATTTTTTTTACCTTCAGTTGGTATATTACTACTCCGCTTATTTTAATGGTATGTGAAAAATGATTGAAATTGAATTTAATAAATCATTTTATTTTACAACTGTTGCAAGGTTGAAAAATATTTTTAAAAAATAAAATAAAATACCTTGTACATTTTCATTATAACAATTTTTTCAGTTAGTGTGGATATTTAGTATAATAGACTATGAGCCACCAACATATTTCAATGGTACACAAAATTTTCCAATATGGGCTCATCTAGTTGGATGGTCCATAGTTCTGATCTCATTAGCATGTATTCCTGTTATGTCAGTTTATACGTTTCTACATTCCGAAGGACATACATTTTATCAAGTAAATGTTTTGTAAATTTATTTTTATTACAAAATCAAACTTTAATTTAATTTTTAGAAATTGAAAGAATCAATTAAACCTCGATCAAATTATTTTGGAGAGTTACCAGCATTATCTAAGGATAATTTAAAAGAAATGACTACTTTAATAGAATACAAAGTGCCAGAAATTCCAATTCCAATTTATACAACAAATGGAAATCAATGAATTAAATATATAATTTGTGATTAATTAAATTTTTTTGTAACTATTATTGTAGTTTAATTAATAAGTAACATATATATATATATATATATATATATATATGCT